GTCTACAAAAAAGTCACTTAAAATGGGTAATTAATATATGGGAGGCCTCAAAGGTTGCGCTGGAAAGAACTTCTAGAAAACAGAGAGGTGAAGAGTACCTCTGGATTCGCGGGAAGGCAGGCTGCACAGCCCGCAGCACTTTGACCTCAGCAGATCTCTTGTACTTACTTCCTTCTTTTGGTCAGCAGTAGGGTCCTTCCAGCTATATTACCTTGAAGGCAAAGGCTAGAATTTGTCCTGGTTGTGGTGCGCTGATTCCACTCATGCGAATCTGGATATCTCCAAAAATGGATAACCTTAATATTTGGAAGACCCCAACCCAACTGTAGTCTACATAAAAAGCCACTTAAAATGGGCAAACCATAACCAAACAGGTTTTATACCACAGCAAAGGGGACCTAAGGTCGCTCTTATATTTCCTGACCACGAAAATACCATTTCTTCAATATTGGACAAGCTGAGGATCAAACCTATGGACTTTGCAGAGACTGCTGAACGTATTTTGTGTGAATGCGTCGCCTAAGATAAAATTTTCGACATGGTTCGTCTAACGCCTACTGATATAAAGGAACAAAACCTTGGGCAATACTAAGGTTCATCAAGGAATGTGCTCCTTATAATATACCAGCTTGCAGCTGCTAATTGTATAAGAAGTTTTCCATTCTCACTGGTGTCTTAGTGTTTTTGCATTGAAATCGCCTAAAAGGACGGTCAAGTCATATCGGGGGATTGCTTCTATCACTTGAGTAGTTTGGCATAGCCCGATATTTATTTATTTACTTTCCAAGGGAGCAAAAACGGGATAGACCCAAAGACCATTGCTCCACAGAGTTAATACATACAATATAATATATACAATATGTAATAAAATATACAATATGCAATATGTATATCAACGTAATGTTGCGAAAGCGCCGTTTGATACGGATTTCACATAGTTTTTCGTCTATAGGTTCGAAGCCAGTAATGTTCTTAATTAGTCTTGGTCACAAAGAAACCTGCTCTTCGTGCTCCTGTTTTTTTTTTGTTGCCGCTATAATAGAAAGTGAAGTCCTTTTTTCTTATTTCAGCCTGCTCCTTCCATCTAACCTCCTGAATCGCTACTACATCAAGTCTGAACTTCTCAACTTTTCTCCCGATTTCCTGCATTTTACCAAATGCGAGCATCGCTCTGACGTTGCAGGTCCATTTCCGTTAAATCCAGCCGGTGTCCGAGGCATTCATGTGTTTTTTTTACAGTCTAGGCTTGTTAGCCCTAGGCCTAACCTCTACCCAAGGAGGGAGTCTATCTCCTGCGAGGTGGAAGTAGGTATTGGTTAATGTCATGTGCCACTTGATGGTGATATATTGTGCTTCACTGGCAATTTGTACACCTTATACTTATCTTTCATTTTCCAGTTATTTCGTGAGGTTCTCAACGATTTTCAAAGATTAACGATTTCTGCAAAATTTCTAATAAATTTCCAAGAGGATTTCTTAGGGTCTCTCAATTTTAATACCATTGTATTCCTGGTTAATTTTTATAGTAAATAGTCATGTTTATTATATCCATTTTTTTTTACATTTTTATTTTAAATATAATAACTACATATTTAGAATGTTCTATATAAAAAAAATCTCATAAAGTTTACAGTTGTGTTTTAAACTAATTCTTAAAACCCGTTGGAATTCTACTATTTGAAATGGGTTTAACGCACTCCTCCGGTTTGACGGTGTGCATTTTTTTCTTTTCTCATTCCTTTTTTCCTTCTATTCATCCGGATCTCTGTTTTATCCGCACCGCGCCGGTAAACCATCCGGGGACTGTCTTCGTACAGAAGCCAGGCAACCTGTACGCGTTTGCCCTCTTCAGGAACGGTAATAACTGTACTTGCAGACGGCGTTTGAACTCAAATCGCGTTCTCGACTCGCTCAATTTCTCGCTCAAAATGCTCCAGAACTCGCGCGAACGCTCGCGGGGGGAGTCCCCGCAAAAGAAACCAAACGGTACATCCGATGAGAGCAACTCAACGACGACACTTTTGCATTTTCTAGACACAAAACCTGAACGGTATACCTTTTTCTTACCTGAGGATAGGGACCGGAAACAATCTTTAGTAAAAGAATGTTTTTATCTGACTTTAAAAAATTTTTAGTCTTAAATATTATCTTCTTTTTAAAGTTATAATTACTTTATATTTGTGATATGGTTCTTTTTAATCCCTAGATTGTAAAATTTAGATAAAAATATTAAGTAACAATACACAGGAAATTCGTATAAAAGATTATCACCATAATATCATGTTTCAAAAATACACTTATTAATCGAAAGGAAGTAGATAAAAAAAATTGTATTAAACATTTTTTAAGTGATCCAATTAATGTAATTGATTTTCTATATCTAGCCTAATTTGTGGTTAAAATTTCTCTTTAAAATAGAACACGACTAATTAGTGAGACATAGTTAGTGTTTGGAATAGTGCATTCCAACGATGTTTTTCTTTGACACAAAGTGCCTCTCTCTTAATATGAGACATCGTCTCTACATTCTTCTATATTCGGGTGTGTAAGTTCACCTGTTTCCTTAAACACCTTGTGCTCGCCTCCACCACCACCAGCAGAAAAGGCACCGCCGTCATCGTCGAAGCAGTGATTCACCACCACCGGGCTCAAGCTCCAAGTGCTTCTCCTCGGTGTACATGTACGAAAGGTCGTTGCCTTCGCGGCAGACACGGAGTTTAATAATAATGCATTTCATAAGTATCTGAGACCCAACGCGCGCCGCCACGACTTAAAATCTTTACACTACTTGAAGTAGACTCAACCTCAATGTGTACACGAACCCCGTTCTAGATTAAATAGAAACTTAGATAAGTTGTTAAAGAATTTCTTAAGAATGAGATTGTAAATGTAAGAAATATATGTGAAGAGTTTGTTTTTGAAACGCGATACCTTATTTGAAAAATAAAAGGAAAAAGGATGGGATTAAATTTAATTATGATGGTGGTGATCTTTAAATACACTTCCGGTGTATTGTTATTTGATACTTTTATCTATTGTTTTACATCTAGGGGATAAATGGAACCATTAAAAGAATATAATAATAAAATTATATATTTTTGTATTATTATTATTAATTAATAAATAAAAGATTCAAAACTTGATTAGTTGACTTAACTAGTTGGCGAATTAATTTTTTTAATAAAACGTTCTGTATCTATTAACTTACTAGATATCGCTCAGTTATTCAATTCTGCTTCGGATTCTTACATAATAGTTTCAAGTGCATATTGTTGCCAACACAGTATTGAATTTTTCCGCTGCATCAACTGAAGGAAAGTGACTCACATCATTTAGTTTTATCAGTTGACATCAAGAAGTAGAGTGTTTCCGTTGGCAGAAAATTTGCTCGTTAACAAATTTCAGTTTTTCTCAATCTGTGCTAGCTGACACACAGTTATTAGTTTTGTTTTCAAACCCACTGGCTTTATTTCCGGCTTACTTCAAGAATTTGATCGAATGACATCAAGAGAACCACTAAATTGCCGAAGAACTTATTCTACCAGCTATAAATATGGTGTTATGGTGCCACAGCATATACCAGCTTTTGACATTGATTTCCTTGCTGGCAAGATCAGCTGATTTCTCATATGCCATTCGTATTATTTCCAGATCAGCTGGCATTGAAGCAGCCTCTTATGCATATGTTCATTCCTTGCTAAGATATGGAGTTGTCTTTTGGGGTCGTGGTGTTGGTATAGATAGAATTTTCATACTACAGAAGAGGTGTGTAAGAGCAATCTTTGGTCTAAAAAATACTGATAGCTGTAGAAGTTACTTTAAAGACTATAAAATACCTACCTTGTATGGAATTTGTATTTTGAATGTGCCGTATTGGTTAAGAAGAATTACTTTGAATTTTTCAAAAAGTATGAAATATCACATCCTCGGGACACACGCGACATGATGAACTGCTATCTGGTGCTACCAAAAACCAGAGTATCAAGATCTACAATCACATTTCACCAATCACAATCACGATTCCGGAGAAGACTGAGCTATTATCACGGAAAATCCGATGTATACCATTGACATGTTTTTCCAATTTAATGTTTGAATGCAATTTGTATTATATTACAATCTAATTATTGTTAAATTGATGCACTCTACGCTTTTTGGTAAAATGGAGTAATAAAGTATTATTATTATTACATTACAAAAAGAATTACATTGACTCATAATACTGCACAAAAGATAATTGTCTAATTGGCATGGTATGTAAAGGTTTCCTTAATTCACCTTGACTCAACCTTAGGTTTCTTCCTTAACTTCGTTTCGAATATTGGTGATCACCCTGGATATGATAACCTTATTCATGGCTATTCTGAATGATTCGCTGATAGTTTTTGAGAACTATGTCCTTAAGCTTCTAAGCCATGATATTCTTCTTTTTCCTGGTCCTTTTCTACCATATACCTTCCTTTGAAGGACGAAACTCAGAAGTGTCCATAACAATTTTCTTCTTTTGATGGTATTTATCACTTCCAAATCCTTTGCCATAATTCACCTATTTATTAGTTCCTCTATCCACCCATGAGATCCTCAGTACTCCTCTATAGAGCCATATTTCGAAAACCTGGACTCTTCTTTGTATTGCCTCGGTTAGTGTCAATGATACATCATTGCATTTGAAGCTGTTGTTTGCTTTTCAGTCTTTTTTTTGTTCTTCAAAATTCTTTAATATTAGGTCATTGAGTGTAGGATAGTTAAACAAGATCTAACCAATCTGTATTCCATATTTGGCAATTAAGCCAGAAAAAAGATATGATGTTCAGATTATAAACTACAGACTGACGCATATTCTTTAGGGACCGATTTCTAACGAATTAAGCCATCATCAGCCGAAATAATTAAAAATGTAAAAAAATAACTTAATAAAAGTAATTTCAACATTTTTCCATTAAATACATATTAATATATTTTTAAGAACTGTTAATGTTTTTTTTTCTTTCTATTTATAGATTACGCAGAAGGATAGAATCTTATCGACGGAGACAAATAGACTGTATGCCGCGTTTTGACCAATCATTTAACGGTCTACGCGAGCAAAACCTACAGGAAACGCAACAGCTGAAGCAAAGGTACCTGGACGGGAAAAACAAACGCGTGCCGAAGGCCAAAGACAAAAAACAAACGGATTCCATACAGAGCAGCGTGCACGTGGTGAGTGAGAAAAGTTTTGTGTTGTTGTCAACTCTCCTCTTTTCTGTTCCATCTCAAGTTCTTCTGGTACCCGCACAAAACTTCCCGTAAAGTCGTTCAACTCTCTCTTTTTCTCGGTGGACAATTTACATACACACAAACATAAAAAATAAAAAAAAAGGATTAAAATGAAAATATTAAAAAAAAATTTAAGGAAAGAACGAAACGAAATCATATTATTATGGTTATGGTAACTGGACAAAAAGACACAAAAGGCGGTCTCAAAAACGTACGGTCAAAGGTCACGGCTGACACATGTGTGTAAATCACGAGCGGCAAGCGTGGCAACGTTGTGGCCGCTTTAAAGTCGGTAGCCGTGAATTTTAAATATAATCGGGGATATGGATCGGTCCTACAAAAATTTGAAATTCTAATTTTTCTACAAGTTCCATACGTTCTAGGTTCTAATGCGTTGCTTTTATTCTGTTCTGTTTAACTACTTATACGACTTTATTCTTGCGTTGACATTTTTGAAAACTAAACAGAAACAGTAAATAGTACAAGAAAAAAAAAAACGGAGTAGAAGTTATGAAATCTTCTATCTACTAAAACTTCCTATTAGTAGAGTTGGAAACCACCTGAGAACTTTTTATTTTGAGTGTTACAGTTTTTATTGAACTAAAACTAGAACTAGCACTAAACCTAGAACTAGAAACATTTGGGTTTAGCCGTGTGTTTGAAGACGCACAGAAACTTTCTAGTTCTAGGTCTAGTGTTAGTTCTAATGACAGCGCAAGTGCAAAACTGGAACTAACACTATATCTAGAGCTAGAATCATTCGGGTTTAGCCGTCTTTAGAGACGTGCGGCTAAATCCAAATGATTCTAGTTCTAGGTATAGTGTTAGTTCTACATAGTATAAAACTAGAACTAACACTAGACCTAGAACTAGAAAGTTTCTGCTTTAGCCGTGCGTCCTCAGACGCACGGCTAAACCCGATAATTTCTAGTTCTAGGTCTAGTGTTAGTTGTAGTTTTAATTCTTATTAAACGCTAAATTGTTGTCTATTTTTACTGAAATAAAAGTAGAACTAACACTAGAACTAGAATCATTCGGGTTTAGCCGTCTTTAGAGACGTGCGGCTAAACCCAAATGATTCTAGTTCTAAGTATAGTGTTAGTTCTACATAGTGACAGTGCTAGTGTAAAACTAGAACTAACACTATACCTAGAGCTAGAATCATTCGGGTTTAGCCGTCTTTAGAGAGGTGCGGCTAAACCGAAATGATTCTAGTTCTAGGTCTAGTGTTAGTTCTAGTTTTAATTCTTATTAAACGCTAAATTGTTGTCTATTTTTACTGAAATAAAAGTAGAACTAACACTAGAACTAGAATCATTCGGGTTTAGCCGTCTTTAGAGACGTGCGGCTAAACCCAAATGATTTTAGTTCTAAGTATAGTGTTAGTTCTACATAGTGACAGTGCTAGTGTAAAACTAGAACTAACACTATACCTAGATCTAGAATCATTCAGGTTTAACCGTCTTTAGAGAGGTGCGGCTAAACCGAAATGATTCTAGTTCTAGGTTTAGTGTTAGTTCTAGTTTTAATTCTTATTAAACGCTAAATTGCTGTCTATTTTTACTAAAATAAAAGTAGAACTAACACTAGAACTAGAATCATTCGGGTTTAGCCGTCTTTAGAGACGTGCGGCTAAACCCAAATGATTCTAGTTCTAAGTATAGTGTTAGTTCTACATAGTGACAGTGCTAGTGTAAAACTAGAACTAACACTATACCTAGAACTAGAATCATTTGGGTTTAGCCGTCTTTAGAGACGTGCGGCTAAACCCAAATGATTCTAGTTCTAGGTATAGTGTTAGTTCTATACAGTAACAATGATAGCGTAAAACTAACACTATCGGGTTTAGCCGTGCGCCTGAAGACGCTCGGCTAAACCCGAAACTTTCTAATTCAAGGTCTAGTGTTAGTTCTAGTTTTAATTCTTATTAAACACTAAATAATTGTCTATTTTTACTGAAATAAAAGTAGAACTAACGCAAGATCTAGAACTAGAATCATTCGGGTTGGGTTGGGTTGTATAGTGTTTGTTCTTAAGCTTAATTCTTAATAGCTTACTTAAAAGATTTTCTTAAAAAGTATCTACATTGTATTACAGATTCTTTCAGGTTCTCTTTTTTAATTATAATTCCGAAGATAAATTGTGATCGGGGCCATTTCAAAAATTATGATAAGCGCCATCTCTTCTTTTCTATTAATGTACTATACTCTTGAGTATGATGAAATCATATTACCTTGCAAATTTTAATTAATTTTAATAACAATTTTTATTATTTCTTTTTTATTTCCTTGTCTATAGAAGAATATATAACTTAAATATTAATACTTGTAAAATGTATTGAATCTGTTCTCGAACGTTCGGGCAAATAGTCGAGAGTTCGGTTTCGGTAGCCTCGACCGGTGTAATATCGTGAAAATTACTACCCCACCATCCCTCGGCGTCGAGACCGTTCCTTCGTTCTCGTTCGTCCTTTACCCTTCTTCACCCCCCGTCCTCGAGCGAATTATCGATCACCAGCCCTCAAACGCGGCGCTAAATGCCGTTTAGCCAACTGTTTGCCGATGCTGTTCATTTGAGGTTAACTTTAAACGCCCGGTCTGTTTTACACTTCACTCCTCTCCTTTTGTATAAATCGATTTTAATTATTATTGGAAATAGTTTGTCTTCTGAATTACCTTCAGTTATTTTTAGAAATTATTGGTCTCCGTGTTTAAAGCTGAATTGCTTTTGAAGAGAATTAAGTTTTAATTAAAATGATATTGATAAAATTTATATAATAATGGTATCGCCGATTTTGTACAATGTTAATCAAGAGAAATCGTACAGAAATTTCAGAGTAATCTTAATTCAAGTTTTAATTAATACTTTAACTGATAAGATTTTAAGTGTTACTGAAAAAAATCTAAAGAAAATAAGAAATGTTTAAATTAAAAGATTGATTTTTTCGTTTATACAGTGTTTATCAAAAGAAGATGATACAAAATTATAATTATACATAATGATTTAATAAGGTATATAAAATTCTAAGCTTTTTCGGGTTAGTTAACAGTACCATCTCTCAAAAGAATTATTAAGGATAACCGTCCACTTCAGCTACTCTTCGAATCTTTTCAGGCCTATATCTTAGGGTTTTTATGCGATTGTATGAATAGGCAGGTAGATCCTTTCAAAAAGGTCGTTAAAAATCAGACGACGATCGTGTACGTTCGATTTGATACTCACCCTATATTTCGAATGGTCTACGTTTTTGTGGGTAACCGCTCACTCCCTATATAAATTAAATAGCTGCCTCATTTACACCATATAAGCAAATTAAAAGTGGTTTATTACAATGCTTCAACATGTTTGCTAACGTTAGAGGAAAGTTATATAGATACCATTTTGAAAAATTATAGTAAATTATAGTATTTCACGTTCTGGGTTATGCAAAACCAGGAATTAATAAAAACAACAGATTAAATGTGAAAAATTTGAACTATAGCTGCAAACAAAAGTCACAAACATATTTTTTTCTTTTTTTGTGATTTGCTACATTCCTCATGGGCCTATTTGAAACACTTCATACATCTTATCCACTGCTCACCTTGCGTATCTTTAGAATCCAAACCATCACAAAACATACATCCTGTATTATGTTCATTATCAGAACTTGATGAATCGTCATCGCTACAATAGACTGTTCTTTTCATTTTTTTCGGAAAATTGGTTCTGCTAATTTAGAACAATGTTTTAGTTTCTTGGCTTTTTCTTTAAAAGTTTTTTTTTCTCGTTTGTTGTGCTTCAAGTTCACGTTTATATGGTGAACTGGTGATAACATAGCTAGACTTCTGTCTAGGTTTCTTACCTCTGTTAGGTTGTGCTTTGTTGTACATTTAGAACAAAGTTTTGGTTGCTTGGCTTTTTCTTTAAAAGTTTTTTTTCTCGTTTGTTGTGTTTCAAGTTCACGTTTATATGGCGAATTGGTGATAACATTGCTAGACCTATGTCTAGGTTTCTTACCTCTGTTAGGTTGTGCTTTGTTGTACATTTTGCTGTTCGGAATGTTGTTCCTGCGATGATTTCTCCAAAGTCAACACATCCCTAGGAGGAGTTCCTTCGTAAACTATAGGTGTGTTTGGTCGAAGTGTAACTTCTCCATGAATTTGGAAATGTTTTTTCTTTTAATGACAAAATCATGTTCAGCAAACCTATCCCTATTTAAGGACCATATCCCAGATTTTCGAAATCCATTTATGGAAATTTCTGCTTTTGCAGTTTTTAAATAAGCAGGACACATGAGCCTGCAAATTTAATAAGAATTTATAGTACCGCTAGGATTTAGCTGTAACCACATTTGAATTTGCTGCAAATAATATGTTTGATATGGTGACATAAATGAAAGATCAAAGGGCTGCATTTTGTGTGAGGTATGTGGTGGTATACATAATATTGTAACATAATTTTTTTGCGCAATTTCTATTACGTCTTGTGTGACTATAGTGTCCATCAAAAATAAGAAGAATCGGTTTAGCAAATTGGATAAAATGTTGGAGCCATTGGGTGAAAATATGTTGTTGAATCCAACCCGATGGGAAACACGCCGCAATGTATCCGGGAGGAGCTCCATCTAGCAATTCCATTTTAATATTTTTTCTGGGAAAAAGGACTAAAGGTGGAACAAATCTCCCAGCCGCATTCATACAAAAAGCAACGGTCACTCATCTCTTTCAGCAGCAGTAACCGTTCCAACCTGCTTTTTGCCTTTTAAAGTGATAACGCGACAATTTTTTGATACTCTGGATTATGATTAATTTTTTGTATTTGTGGTTCTAGTAGATCAAAAAATGTATTTATATTCTCTGGGGTAAATCCTTTTATTCTGGCTTTTGATGTACGTGGCGTTTGAAAAACCCCTTCAGCCACTTCTTACCAGCAGTAAGACTTCTTGTCAGAAAATGGCTGAC